CCCGAGCTTCCCTCCCTCCTTCCCTCCCTCCGCAGCTTGCAGCCCTCTCTCTCTCTCTCCCTCCCTCTCCTCCCTCCCTGTGCCTCCCAGAGAAAAAGAGATTTATTTTAAGCAATTGACTCACATGGCTGTGGGGGCTGGCGAGCGTGGGATCCATGGGGTGGGCTGGCAGATTGGGAAACTCAGCAAAGCTGATCCTGCAGCCTTCAGTCCCGAGTCAGTCTGGAAGCAGAATTTCTTCCTTCTGGAGGAACTGTGGCCTTTTCTCCTAACCCTTCGACTGACTGCATGAGCCCCACTCACAGTACGGAGCACCGGTTTCCTCGACTACCGATTGAAATGTCCGTCCGCTTTCAGCAAGTACCTTCACAGCAACATCTGGACTGGTGTTTGACCAACTATCTGTGTAGTCAGCTGCACTGTTCAAAGGTCCCTGCAGAAGGACGGGTTCGAGGATGCCTTGGGATTCTGACCCTTCTGAGGAGGAGACAAGCAGCATGTGTCGGTGACAGGGAAGTCTTTAACTAAACCTGAGGAATAGACCGATAAACTAATGACAGCGTAAGCAGTAGGTGCTGTGGGTAAAGCTACGAAAAGTCCCAACAGGAGGCACGCTCCACTCACACTCACACACATGTCGCAGGGAAGCTGAAGAGGTTTTTCTTTTGCATCTCCAGGCAGAGGAACGATGGCCCTCACCCACCCGAGGTAACATCTACCCATTCACTTCCTTTTTCGCAAACTCTGGGGAAGGATTGAAAACCCAGCCTCACCTTCCTCACAATAGAGCTTTACTCTCTCTTGCATCTATTCTCTCCGCCTGTCCAATGCCAGTGAAACAAAGCAGTGTCTGGAATTTCAGCTCCCCAGCAGGCCTCTCACACCTCATAGCAGTGGAGGATGATTTACACATTTAGTTCAGTTGAAAAAACTCGTACCGGGCAGCTACTGTGTCAGATGGTGAACGAAGCAGTGTGTGCGATGCAGGAATAAACTGAAATCTGTCACCCAGGCTTCCCCCTGGCACTACTGAGCCGAGAGCATAGATCACTTTAGAGTGTGCCAGGCCCTATCAGCCATGAAGTCACTTCCCCAACCCTCGAAGCGTTTCCCAGACCACCCAGGAAAAGCCAAAATCCTCATAGAGTGACTCCAAATAACCCCTGCCCAAGAACTCCCGGGCCCCCTGACCTGCCCTCTTCGCCTGGCCCCGGCTCGCTCTGCTCCTACCACAGTAGCCTTCTGTGTGCATCCACACCTGTGAGGGCATTGCCCTTCTGCAAGAGCACACACCCAGGAAGGGGTGGATCCCACATGTTTTCCTTATGGCGTTTCTTCCACATGGTCAGAGAGTGGCTAAGAAGGCCACAAAGCTGTTTATTCCTCGAGTGCAAATGGAGCTTTCAGAAAGTTCACATAGATCGCCTTCCTCAGGAGCTATATACTACTCCCACTATATGGCTTCATTAATTTATTCAGCAAATCCCTTGCATTTATGATCTATGGCTGTGTATCAAATTACCAAAGAATGTGCAGCTCTGAATGACACCTCCCCATCTCTAAACCAAAGTCATGGCCTATCTGGGTCTATCCAGGTCTCCCAGGTCAGGTCTTACAGACTGCAGTCGAGGTGAAGGCCAGCCTGTTTCTTGTCTGGAGGCTTGAAAAGCTACTTCCAAGCTCATTCAGGTCATCGGGAGAACTTTCTTTTTGGTTGTAGGATGGGGAGCTTCAAATTTCATGCTGGCAGCCAGTGCGAGGCTGTTTTCTGTTCCCTGTCCAGTGGCCCTGCCCATGAGCGGCTTACATCCTCAAAGCCAGCAAAAGCAAGAGAGCAGATCTACTGAGGACCCTTGCAGAATGTTACACGGTTAAGGGCCAGGGATTTAGTTCAGTGGTTTTGCCGCCTGCTTCGCAAGCACAAGGTCCTGAGTTTGATCCCTGGTACCCCTGCAAAATTACACAGTTGAGTAGTCAGCACACTGGCCATTCCTATCAGTTAGAAGCACACTGTGGGACTCCACACATGCTCCAGGGGAGGGGACCATACAGAGGTGCAAACACTAGGAGGTAGGAAGTCCTGGCTGCCACCTGAGTCTGTAACACCCCTTTTGCATCTATCTTACCCTACCCTAAATTAGCACTAATTCCAAGCTCATGGAGAAGACAGAGCTCCAAAGAGTGTGGATGAACTTAATTTTATTTACTGTAGACAGAGACAGAGGTTTTGCAGCATTTTCCACAAAGCTTAGAAAATCTTGATTTGCAAAAGCTCTCAGCTGCCGGTGGCCTTGAGGAGGACAAGGGTTTCTGTAACTCCCTGAGGAAGCATGGGCAGGAAGGTGGGAGCCAGCACTCAACCAAGAAGCAATTCTGGAGACCAAGTAAGACTCCTGCTGCTCCTGAAAGGGTCTCCATCTCTATCTAGGGCCATTATCTCCATGTGACTTGGGAGAGGCCGCCTGGTCACCAGATGAACCCAGGCACCAACAATTCAGAGTCAAGGCCAGTTGAGGTTTTGGACTCCAGCCTGGCTATTTTTCTCTGCCACCGCTGAAGAGCAGGGAGCCCAGAACCACAGAAGCACGAGTGGTGATGGCCCCCCTTCCATGCAAAGACCACTGAGGATAAAAAGAAAATACACCTCAAGGACAGGCTACCGCTTCTCTTATGCTGGACCAAGGAGCTCCGAAATGGCCCTCTCTCCCTCCTGACAAATGCCTCAGCAGGGTGCAAATGAAATCAAGGGCCTCCGAGAAAGCACTCAGGCTCACATTCTTTAAATACTCTTGTCTTGCACCAGCAACGTTTTACAGCCCTGCTAAAAGGTGAGCCTTCTGCAAACTTAATTGCTAGGGTAGGAGTTTTCTTCTCCTTCACAGTAAATTGTGAATTAAAAAAAAAAAAAAAAAAAAAGCCAGTACACTGAGCTTTAATTTTAAAGGGAGCCGCCCTGGGGGTGGTGGCAACACTGCTGGCTTTGAGTTTCTGTCTGACTGTATGGCTGTTAAAAGGGAGCAGTTTTGCCATCCACCTGGCAGAACTACATTGTCCTTTGGAAGAAAACAGGAGGCCATAGGACAGGGAACGGTGGATGGGTCCTCAGGGGCGCACACTTGGGACCTTAGCTCTCAGCCTGCTCCTGGTGTGTAGGCAGAAGCAGGAGGAATCTCAGTGTTTTGCTTTTATCAAGGGAGGGGCCACAGGAAGACACAGATAGCACGAACTTGCAGCTCCCCTTTCAGAATCTGCGCTGTCTCCATGCCCTGAGTAGGACATGAATGTCCTGGACCAGGTGCTCGGCTTTGCTTTCCTCATCTGTGGAATGGGAATGGTGATGATTCCTTTCCATCTGCGTGGGGTTGATAATAACCATGAGTACATCTATAGCCTATAGTGCATTTATAAACACAAGGTGATATTTCTACTACTAGTTTTGAGTTTTTCCTCTCATTTCCACCATTCCACCTTGTTTCCTCCACTCTCTGTAGGGATTTGGGCAGGGGACACTCCTAAGTAAAGCCTTTATAAAATTTGGAAAGCCAAACCCCACCTCACAGGGACACGACTCCGGGAAACACCCCTGTGTGTCCTTCAGGTCCTGTGTCTCCTCCTTCCCACCAGTCCTTTCTGGGATCAGGACCTGGCAGTAATTGCAGAGACTGGAGCTTTGAAAGGAGGGCAAGAGGCCTCAGGGAGGAGAGAGCAACCCTGTATAGAATGCTGCCCTTCCAAGCCCCTTGTCACAACCTGCCCCTGGCATCCTGTGCCAGGCCAGGAAGATGATAACCTTCCTGTGTGGTGAAAACCAAAAAACTGTGTTAGTCTACTAGGGCTGTATGTAGATCAGCTTTCCATTACTGTAACAAAACACCTGGGCTAATCTTTATCCAGAAAGAAAAGGTTTATTTTAGCTCAGTGTTGCAGATTCCAATCCATAGTCATACATCGTATCTCACTGCACACGTGGCAAGCAGCCCACCAGGGCAGGAGAGGGTGGCAGAGAAAAAACTACTCAGCTCACAGCCAGGGAGCAAAAGAGAACAAAGAGGAAGTCAGAGGCCTGGAGTCCTCTTCAAGAACGCTCCCCTAGTAACCTGAAGGTGTCAGCCAGGTGCCCCCTCTAAAGTGTCCACCACTTTCTGACAGTGCCACCCTCCATGCAGTAAGACTTGGCAGGCATCCAAGACCCAGACTCAGAAGCTGCCAGGACAAACTGCCGCAGGTGGAAACACTTGCTCGCTGCTGCAAGTTCAAGGTTGGCAGGGCTGGTTCCCCTGAGACCTCTCCCCTGGCATACAGACAGCCGCCTTCTCCTTGGGTCTTCGTGTCACACTCCCTCAGTGTGTGTCTGCGTCCTAATCACCTCTTAGAAGGACACTAGTCATCTCGGATTAGGGTCCACTCAAATAACCTCCCTAAAGACCCTATCTCCAAATACAGTCACATGCTGGGTATGGTAGTCCCCTTTTCATGGATGATACATTCAATGCCACTAATGAAGCCCAAAGCCACAGTTTCTACTAAATCTCGTATATACTATGCTCTCCCTACGTATACTCAAAGATTAATTTATAAATTAGGCATAGTAAGAGATTCTCTACAATGACTACTAATAAAAGAATAAGTACAAAAATATACACTAATAGAAGTTATGTGAATATGGTCTTTATTTCCCGCCTCTCCTTCCCTCTCAAAATACAATATTATGCTGTACTCACCTTTCCTGTGGTGATAAGATATGATACAACACTGAAGACAAAGTGAGGTGAATTATTAAGCTTTATCACGGACAATACTTACAATTTTTTGAGTTTGAGGTATGACAGCGAAACTACACAAATTACTTTTTTCTTCTCCACAATTTTACAGATTGTTATTATAGATGTTAACAACTTAAACATACAATTGTTTACTTTCCTTATTGAGTTATGAACATTCACTTTTTTACTTAAATGAAGCAATTTGCAGCTTTTTTTTTTTTTTTTTTTTTGGTCATCACTAAATTGCCAGCACTCTTGCACTTTGGGCTGTTAGTATGTAAAGTAAGGGTTACTTGAACACAAGCATGTGATTCCACAAAGGTCAACCTGTTAACCAAGGTGGACACTAAGTGACCAATGAATGGGGGTAGTGTATAGAGTGTGGGTCCACTGGATGAAGGGATGACTCCAGTCACAGATGGAAGGGAGCAGGACAGCATGAAACTTCATCACAACTACTCGGAATGACACACAATTCAAAACTTGTGAGTTGTTTACTTTGGGAATATTCCACTTAATATTTTCAGACCATGCTTAGCTGTAACTAATACCATGGACAGAGCAAACTGCCCTGAGGGTTAGGACTTCAATATATAAATTTCAGGAAGAAAAAACAATTCAGTTGATAACAAAAAGAAAGGATGACATGCTGGAGACTCTGTTGGGTGGGAAGGAGGGTAACAGTATATGATTATTTTACTTTCCTCATTTTCAAAAAAGTTGAAGAAGGAATAAATTAGGGCACATATGTTACCACCCAATAAATGATTGATGAATGAGAATTAGAACTCTGGAAGACCTCCCAGTTTCTGTTGTTGATGAACAGGTTTCCTTTTTTGTCTTCCTTCTACCATTATGACCCCAGGGAAGGGAGTCAGACATGGTTTAGCAACCAATAAAATCATATTTCATGCTGCTTTTTGAAGATTGTGACATCTGTAGCTGAGATCTTTATCTTTGCAGTAAGGAACTAAGCCAGAGGCGTCTCTCAGCCCCGAGTGGTGGCCTGGGAGTAGGGCAGAGGGCAGTGAGGCTGAAGAGAGAAGCAGAAAAGGAGGAGAGATCCACGTCTGCCCATCGTGGGAAGTGGATGAGATGCACACACATCCTAGCGAGTGGAGGCTGCAGGGCCAGCAGGCAGGCGAAGTCCCCACTGCAGGGACCAAGTCGGACAGAGAGAGGTGGAGACAGAGCCATAGGGAAGGCGCAGGACGGCGGGGTGGCCAAGGAGGGGGCTCCTTCAGGGGCAGAGGAGGAAGCCAGAGGATCTTTTGTGTGTGGGGACATCTCAGGGATGTCCTAGGAGGCGGGAACGGTTGAAGGTCACAGCTGACATCAGGAAACACGCCTGTGTCTCCCTCAGTGTGTTCATCTGGTCCAGGAGAAGCTGCAGGATGGGTACAGTGAAAGACACAATTCCTCGTGGCTGTGCCACAGCTTTACGACAGCCATTTCAGAGGCACAAAGGGACTTCTACAAATAGAGCAGTTTATATAGGGTTAGACTAATTTCTTTCCTTTGATTCTCCTCAGTTTCCTACACAGAAAATACTCCTCAAGAGGTCAACCCTAACTAAGAAGAGAAGGAAACTGGCTTTATTTCCATGAAGAGTGGGCTGTGAAGAGGGGATTTCCTCTTTGCTGACTGCCTGTGGCAGACTGTGGACCCTCTGATCATCTCCTAAGCCAAGAGAACCAAGACAGCCAGATTCCAGAGTCCAGAAGGTTTGCTGAGAGTTTCTGGGCAATAAACTGCTACTGGCAGACAAACTCCTTTCAGTGATCCAGCAAGACAAACACCTGGATGATGAACCAGGAAGACACCCTAGACGGGCCGGGTCTTCTGGTGTCCTCCTGGGTCACACACAAAGGAAGAAAAGTGGAGTAATGATGAAGTGTGTTTGGAGCACAGGCTGAATGGTGTGAAGAGAATCCAGAAGAGCCACCCTGCCCCCTCAGGGAAGGGCCCAAGATCTAGCCAGAAACCCTGTGGTTCTCCTTCCATGTTTGGAAATGGCTCAGTCAGAAAATGATCTTTAATTAAGAAGAAGTCCAAGAAAATATGGTTTGGGGAGCCCCGGATGGATAAATCCCACCTCCTTCACAGGCACCTCGGAAAGTCCTAGTCGGTACATCCTATGTATATTTGGAATGTGTTTATGTCATAAAAATTATTTGTTATTGACCCAGAATTCAAATTTAATTGGAAATGCTCTCTCTATGTTTATTTGCTATACCTGGTAGCCACCAGCAGTTGTCAATTAGCAAGTTACAAGAAATGGATGTGGGCTGGACTTGCCACTCCCAGAGGGTGCCAGGTGCTGTGACATTGCAGATAGTCATCTAGGTTGCCCCGAGAGCTTGTTCGGCCTTTCCTCGATGTGTCCGTCCTGTGGACCACCATCTCCAGACATCTCAGCCAGCCGGCTCAACCAGAAGAACATTTCTGTCCCTGTAGCTGGGAACTCACAGATAAGTGTGCTCCAGGTGCGATGTGGTCAGTGGTGTGTGGCACCAAGGATGGTTTGTAAGCTCAGTTCTTCATCTTCACAGCAGCAGTGCCCAGTGTGACCTGCAGACATCATCATGCTATTTGCATGGCTTCTGAGGTGCAGGAGAAGAACAGGACAAAGGTAGAGGAGCGATCTAGGGTGCCTCAGCATCCTCTGTCTCTGGATTTGTGACCAGTGAAGAACGTGACAAGAAGTGAACAGTAGAGTCAAAGGGAGTCAGTTGGAGGAAGTTATCTCACCTACCTGTTAATAATGTAGAAATAAAGATAGCCAGGCATGGTGGCACATGCCTGCAATCCCAGGATTGTAGGAGGCTGAGGCAGGAGGATTGCCATGAATTTGAGGCCAGCCTGAGCTACATAATGAGACCCAGTTTGAAAAAAAAAAAAGAATAAAAACAGCAACTATGTAAAAGGGCACTATCAAAACTGACTGATTAATAAGGGTTGAAAGATAACAGGCAAAAGGAATAGGATACTCACAGGGCTGCCTAAACCACAGTCCTTACACTACAATGTAAAATGTAGAGGAACTGCTGAATACATTTGTTTTGTTTTGTTTTTTTGGTACCGGCATTGAACTCTGGTCCTTGCACTTACAAGGCAGGCCACCGAACCACTGAGCTAATCCCCCAGCCCTAACTGCTGAATACATTTGGTTTTCTCTTTCTACATTTAGGAAATTGCCTGCACTGATAGTTATAGTTTAGATGTAAAATGTCCCCCAAAAGTCTTGTGTTTGGAGGCGGGGCTTTTAGAAAGGGATTAGATCCCTGGGTGCTACACTCACCCACAGATGAGTTCACCCTGAGTGCACTGTTAGGAGGTAAGGGCTGGCAGGAAGAGGTGTGCCCCGAGAAGGTAACTAGAAGAATGCCTGGCCTCTTCTCTTGTCCTCTCTCTGTGCTTCTTGGCCTCTGTGAGTTGAGCGGCTTTCCTCTACCGGCCACTTTCAACATGCTGTTTCTGCTTTGCAGCAGCCAACCATGGACTGAGCTCCTTGAACTGTAAGCCCAAATACACTTCACCTTCTTTAAGTTGTGGGTAGTGGGTAGTGGGTATTTTGTCTCAGTGATGGGAAAGCTGGCTGATACCCTGACAAATGCACCAGGTGCAAAACTCAGGAGCAGTTTTCTCCTTGGCTTAAAAAGAAGATACTCAGAGTGATTTGTGGAAATTCCTCTTGGCTGTATCATTCCAGGAAATGAGACACCACATGACTTGATCCTCATTCCCTTTTTTTTTTGTGGTACTGGGGATTTGGGGATTGAACTCAGGCCCTTGAGAGGCAGCGACAGAACCACTAAGCGAAATCCCCAGCCCTGATTCTCATTCACCCTTTCATCTGAATCTCTGCCATAAGTCCCTCTTACAGCACAGAGGACTATTTATGCAGGGACAAAACTATGTGATCATTAGGGATGCTTTTCAAATGCCAGTTAAAAGCAGTTATTTGAGAAATAGTGCTAAAGGGCCCACAGTGAGAGAACAATAAGAAAACACACTGGCTATTGTATCCCAGCCTTTCCCAGACTTCCCTAAAAAATAAAGAACAAACAGAAGGCCATGTAAAAGTTTTGAAATATCAAATCCTAAGTCAAATGTTTCAGATTTGATGTCCGATTTTCTATGATATATGAGTGTTGGGCTAATACAGCTAAGGAAAATCTTTTTTGCATAAAATCTCCTGGCATGTTTATCTTCTACTAACTAAATATCCCTCTAGGGAGCTCACATTTAGACTTGAACATATGATATAAAAATAAACCCTGTGTTCATAAGCATCTTCATGGAATCTGTTGTCCCTCAGTTGGTCAAAAACAAATATTTATCACTTGCTTAAAAAAAACAATAACTTGCACTCGATTTCAAAGTACTTTGGGGAGTTCTTTCTAAAATTGCTACTAATGGAAAAGGCTGTCTTAGTCTGCTTTGTGTTGCTATGACAGAATGCCACAGGCTGATAGAAAAAACAGGTTCATTCCTTACCGGGCTGGAGGCTCAGGAGTCCAAGGCTGAGGGTCCACATATGGTAAGAACCTTGTTGCTATCATCCCAGAGTGGAGGGTGGTGGGGGCAAGAGATGGGGGTGGGAGGAAGAGGAAGGAGGAATGGGAAAGGGGAAAGAAAAGAGAGATCTAAACTTGTGTTTATAACAAACTCGCCTTGATAATAATGAAGCCACTCCTCTAGCAACAACACTAATTCATTTGCCAAATGGAACCATTTGTCCATGACATAATCACCTCTTAGAGGTGTCACCTCATGATGTTTGCATGGCTGATTAAGTTTCCAGTGCATGAACTTGGAAGGCATGGAAATCCATAGCAGGAGTGTTGGTGGTAATCTGAGGGCCAGTTTAACCCAGTGGACCTAGAGCTGGTCTATTTCTGGGCCCCCAATCTCTATGACCTTGGGCAAATGAACTTCCTGGGCCCCAAGTCCCTCATATCCAAAAGCATAGCATTCTGCTGCATGGACAGAAAACCAATCCCAGTGGCTTATCTAAACAGAGTTTAAGTTTCTAAAAATGTAACAACTGGGCTGAGGCTGAGACCCCATGATAAACGTCAGCACTCAGCTCCTGCCTGCTTCCCTCTCTGCCATCCTCAGCCGGGGACTCATCCCCAGGCATGTTCTCTTTCAGTGGTAAGATGGCTGTTCCATCTCCAAACTCACCAAAAGGAACAGGGAACAGAAGAGAATCCCCTTCCCCAGAAACTCTGAGATTACATCCGCCCATTTCTCAGACCAGCACCTGCTCGCCTGGCCAGGGAAGTCAGCTATCTCCCAGGTACATGCAACCTTAAATAAAGTGAAAACTCTGCTGCTAGGGAAGGAGAGTAAAACATATGTTAGGTCAGCCGACAGCAGTGTATGCGACAGCAGTATAAGGCTTCCTCCAGCTCCCAGTCTGCTAGTAATTCATTCTTCTGCTCAACAAATACACAGGGGGCTGAGGTATAGAGCTCAGCATTCGAGTGCACACTTTGTGTGTGCAAAGCTCGAGTTCAGTCCCCGGCAACAAAACAAATACATGTTGTGTGCCTACTCTCTCAGGGCAGACTTCCTAGATGCAGGGATGCAGTTCTGCACAAATGGCAGAACAAGAAATACTGACTGGCAATCCTGGGCCATCCTGGGCAAATGGATCTGATACAAAATAAAGCCTTCACATTCTCATTCAGTGACAAACAAAGCCCAGCAAGAGAACACGATGGGTAAAGGCTGTCTCAAGCATCTACCTGCAGCCTGACCTGTGGATTCTACCTGTTAGTTTCCCCTGGCTGGGTTCTCTGGTTCAGGATTTAAGAATATCTAGCTCTTCCCTGGGCCATGAGCAAGACAAGCTCATCATGGAAGGGAGAAGTCTTACAGTTCCAGAACCTGTGGGGGCCCAGGGCTAGCCTGCCCCTCCTCTGTCTGCAGAACAGTCCTAGAGGAGAGTGGCCATCAGATAGCACTCCAGGCAGTCCATTTCCATATCAGTTTTTAAGTAGTAACTCAGCTGAAAAGCCTGGAACTTTCCTACAGCACTGCTGCCAGGGTAAATGGATACAAGCCCTTGGAAGGCAGTTGGGACATACACGGGAAGAACATCCACACCTTCACACACACTGATCCAGGACTCTGATTTTACTTCTGGGAACCAAGCCTCAGAAAAGTATTCCTGCAGAAAACCTTTACACACTAGGAAGTTCGCTGTGGTGTTAGTATAATAACACAGCCGGCCAACAATCTAAACATTCATCAGTAGGAGAATATCCACGTGATAACGCCGCAAACACTCGATAAAATGTTCTACAACCACTAACTGGGATACTGTGCAGACCAACTCATCAAGAAAAATGCTTATGGGAATGTTTGAGTGAAAACTACAAGATACCAACTTATATGTAAACTATCATTACGATTTTTAAATATACACCCAGGAAGGAAATACTTCAACGTGGTAACACTGGGTAAGTAACTATGTGATTATGGGTGGTCAGATTTTAAGCAACTTGCTTCTGTTAGTCTTCAGATTTTTATTCATGTTTACATGACATGAAGAGAAAAATAAATTCATCACTTGAAAAAGTAAAGGGTAATTAAGTGCTTTCTGAGCTATTTTGCCTTCTCTATAATAGTATGTAAATTCTTTTTAAAAATTCCATTATAGTAAGCCAATCTTTTCACTAAAATGGTTTATAAGACAGATAGTAAATGTGGGAGACAGAAACAGAAAAGTAATGCCTATTCCGAATCTTACCAAATTTAGTATGACTCAATTTTAACTTATTTGTAATAATTTAATAGAATCTAAGAAAGCTTTTTCTTCTATACTTAGATTGCTAAGTTAAAAAAAAAAATTTCCCTGAGTCAAGCATGAGATTACAGTAACAGTCTGGATCTCCAGGCCAAAAGATTCGTTGATTTCCCTTGAATCATTTGGGCAAGTCAAGCAAAAGATTTCCTCCCAGCCTGGCTAGAATTCCATTTTACAATGCAGAGCGGGTATTACCTGTTTTTCCATTTTCTCTTTCCATCAAAATTGCCTAAGCAGGGCTAGCCAGTACACTTGCAAGCAAAGTTGTTATTTCCACATTTTACCAACTTGTCCCAACCTGCACAAGAATCACACCAGAGAAAGGAAGCTTCTTGTACCACCAGAGGTCGGAAATGAGTTCAACCTCAAACTGGAGTCTGGCCCTGAATCCTGAGGTCTTCTTTTAAGTCTTCTCCTGGCTTGGGCTGCAGAGTGACTGCTCCTGGGGGTCTTCAGCACAAGAAGGACAGATCTTTGGTTATTTTCCCTAGAATCTCCCGGCACCTACCTGCTTTAGGGATCTGTACTTAAACTCCCATTATTAGAGATACAAGGAAGATTCAATTCATCACCCCAACCACCATTAATCAGAGATGATTAGTGAAAGGTTTTGGGCCCAAGGCCCACGTAGACCACAGATTAAGAGCCCTTGGCAAAGAGGCAGAACAGAGGTTAGAATCTTTGAAACCCCAAGTAAGGTATTTTTGTGGAGATGCTTTTGAAACAACAGATTTAAAGCCTGGCTTGCCACTGGGTTGTTTGTTTTGCTCTGATGGGATGTAGGGAAAGCCTGAAATTGTCATTGTTCTTTCTGCATAAACTAGAGAAACCTGAGAAGTCCAGAAGGAGCCCAGGCCCCTGACAAATTGAGTAAGAGGAAAGAGGAAGAGCTGCTCTTGGAGAATCCCGTGCCATCCTGGAAGCGCTGAAGCCCAGGAAGCCAGAGCTCAGCAGCTCCACTCCCAAAGGTCAATGGGAGAGAGGAGAGCAATGATTCTCTGATTTGCAGAAGACAATAGCATGTCCTTGCACAATCAACCATCTGTGTACTGTTGACAAATCCAGTGCACCTTTGGTCCTGGCACAGGGGAAGGTCACTCATTCTCTCAAGTCAGAGGTAGGCAGGAGCTGAGATACAGCAAGACCAGCCATCACTGGCCCTCTTCTCAGTCCCTCTCTTCTAGCTTGGAGGTGATGATCAGAGGGTACAAACTTTCAGCCATGCAAGATGTGCAAGTTCTGGGGATTTAAGGTACAACACAGAGCATGTGCTTAACAATTCTGTCTTGCATGCTTAAAGTGCTGCTAAGAGGATAGAATTTATGTTAAGTACTCTTACCACAAAAGGAGCAAACACATAAAGGGGAGAGAGGAAGCTTTTGAACGTGGTGAGTAAGTTTATGGTATTGTGATGATGAGTCCACTTAACTCCAAACACATCACGTTGTAGGTACTGAATTTCTACAGCACCTGTATGTCAATCACAACTTAATAAGCGATGTAAAACAAAACAAAAGGTAACCACGAAGGTCCACATATTGAATGATTCTATGTATACAAAATATGTGGAATAGAGAACTCAGGAGAGACATAGTGTTTGCCAAGAGCTGGAGATGAGACGGGGATGATGGGAAGGTAGCTAAAGGGTGTAGAGATTCCTTCTGGGGGTTATAAAAACCTTCTAAAATTGACAGTGGGGACAGTTGCACAATTCTGTGACTAGATACTTTACTTTGAGTGAGAGATTTGTGTGTTGCATAAATTATGTCTCAAGAAAGCTATTTTAACAAAATAAAGCCCACCATTTCTCAGTGCCTCCTCTAGAAGCATTTTCAAGCTGGCAAGAATGCTTCCATCTCACCACTTTTCAGAACAAAGAGGTGGGAGCCACTGCACTGATCAGGCTTTTTGCCAAGAACATGGCGCTGGCTTCAGGAGTCGAGTTCACTGTCAGAGGACAGACACCTGCAGCGTTAGAAAGAGTTGAAAACTGGCTCTGAGAGCAAAAGGCTACTTCTGATAGGGTCAATCAGAGATGCGCTGCAGTCATTTGTGTGTTTTGTGCCTCATCTTCAACTGAAAGGAGATAGGATAGTGTGTTAGATTACAATTTTTCATGGAAAACTATCCCTGCCAGTTGTGGGACTTTGCACTGGTATCGTTAACGTTTCATTAACAGTTTACATCCATTTTATGGAATGGATATTAGTGACTATTTCCAAAGGGCTGTTGGGAGGGTCAGAAAAACTACTGTGTGTAAAGACCAGCACAGGATGGGCCCTCAACAAAATACTGCCTATTATTACTCTTCTACAATTACGAGGACAAAGACCTTCATGTCCTGGGAATATCCAGCTCAATGTCTAGGCTCTCATATACTTAATGACTAGAGAAGTCATTCTGTAATTTTGTGGAACATTTTCTCCCCAGAAGGTTACCCGTGGGCACAGCTGATCAACTAATCAAATTTTACTTTTCAAGTCAAAGCAAACTGTGGGAGCACTGTTCCTGAGCCTATTAAATGAAGGCTGTCTGTTAAATTAAATGAATTTGCAGTCATTTCTTCAGAAAACAAAAAGAAAACTATTTTTTTCTAGCAGCAGAAAGAACCCTCAGAGATAGCCCACCAACTTCTTGGGCGCATTTTGATCTCATAAAATACACTGAAAAGGAGAATGAGAACAAAATCCTTCAAATGTCCCATTGGTGTGAACCCAGCAATGTTAAAGAATTGAATGGGAGAAAAATTGTTGCCTCATTTTTCCAGCAGCCTTCATGGGGTTAAAATCTGAAAGCAAGAGACACAGAGCTCCCATGTCTTTCAATGCCTGGCGCCAGAGTACCACCTGGCACCTAGTAAGTCCTGTAAGTGTCAGTAAAGAGCTTATCACTACAATGGCAACTCGTAAGAAAACCAGTGTACAGCATTGCGGTAGCTTAGCCCATCTTCCTCTTCCACAAAGCACTGTACACCATGCTGGGGCAGCCAGCCACCTCCAGCCTCCCTTCCACAGGTCCAACATGAGAGAGTGTGTGAGACCCTCCCCTTATGGCTCCAAGCCCTGGCCACTCATACTCCTGTCCTCGACGCAGTGCAGGTCTCATCCCAAGTGTGGCATGAGCCTTCAAAACCAGACAGTCTGGTTTGTGGTACCCTGAAAAGGACCTGGTCGGGAACAGAAGTTGATATTACTATCCTGAAACTCGGGTTTCTCTGACAGTTGATTATTTTTTTTTGTACTATCAAAAAGGCAGGTGATTGACATCCTATGGTTATACAGTAAGACACATCCACACAGCTTCAGCTAACCTAAATTTTAAAAAATGATCAGACAGAGGGATTCTCCAAAGAATACTGCCATTGTCTCAGAATCTCAGAGCATTGCAATGTGAATGTGCATTCTGTAGTGAGCTATGGGCATATTCAAAGAGGATGAGGCATTTGAAAAGACAAAAATGATGAGGTTTACACCAGATAATTTTTAAAAATAATTTTTAGCCACACTGATTCATACCAACGAAGGTGTCCATCTGAGATTTATCAGACAGTTGCTGGAGAAGTGTCTGTGTAGAAGTACTGTCTACATACTTGTGTTTCTAGCACAGTCCCTTATGATAGTGACCAGCAGGCAATTCCATAGAAGGATGCTTCCTTCTAATTTACCTGATTTATTTACTTTTTTTTTGTATCATTCATACACGTGATCACATTCTGATTCTGCAACTTTCACTTTTCCCTTACAAGTTAATGTTGTGATGCATCTATTTCCATTGTGCTTAACAAATCAATAAAAGCCTACAGTAGAACCTTCTGTAATTGGGGCCCTCCAGGTAGTTGGCAGGGCAAGATCCCCATGCTGTGGCTGGCACAGTCTCTGAGGACCTGCCCCTTGGTTCTCTCTCCCAAGTTGCAAATCAGTTCCTGGTTTACACTGGAGCTATCTGACCCCAAACCTATAGGCCAAATCCAGACAGAGCTGGATTTGCTTGGCCTTCAGTGTCAGCCAACATGGGGCTTTTTAGAATTTGCTTTATTTGCCGATACAGTTTTCCAAATTCTAACCTACCTTATTGAAGTATGACTGACACAAAAAGCTGCAACTATTTAGTGAACACAACTTGTGTTTGGAGAGCTGAGCACACCCATGAAAGCATCTTCGTGAGCCATGCACTTGTCTGTCACCTCCAGAACTTTCCTCCTGCCCCTTTTGACTTTTTGTTTGTTTTCTATTTGTGACTGGAACACATAAGATAAGGAAAAATTTCAGTACACAGTATGGTACTGTTCATCATAGGCTTTATATTGTACAGGAGATCTCCAGAAATTACTTGTTTTGCATAGCAGGAACTTTTGAACCTTTAACCAACATTTCCCCAATTCCCCCTCTCCTCAGCTCCTGGAAACTACTATCCAGTCTCTAAGTCTATATATTTGACTATTTTAGACCCTATGTATGAGAACATGTGGTATTTGTCTTTCTGTACCTGGCTTATTTCACTCAGCATGTTCTCCAGTTCCGTCCACGTTGTCCCAAGTGGCTGGCTGCTCCTGTTTCTATGCGAATAAAATTTGATTGCATGTAAATACCATATTTTATTTATCCATTCACCCATCAGTGGACATTTAGGCTCTCATATCTTGGCTACAGTGAATAATGCTGCAGTGATCAGGAGAATGGTCTCTTCAAGACCCTGAGTTTTATCCCTCTGGACCTACACTCAGAGGAGGATTGCTAGCTCAGGTGGTTCTATTTTCCAATTTCTATTATGGCAAAATGCACATGCAAAATTTATCATCTGAAGAGTTTCGAGTGTACAGTTAAGTGACACAAAATATATTAACACTGTTATGTAAATATCACCACCATTCGTCTCCAGAACGTTACATTTTGGAAAACTGGAACAGTATTCATTTAATGATTTCTCTTTCCCTCCACATCAGAAGCCATCACCCTACTTCTGTCTTCTGTGTAGATAGAATCATACACAACTATCCTTCTGTGAATGGCGTATGTCGCCTAGAATGTCTTCTTGAGACATCCATGTTGGTTACATTAGAACGTCGTCCATTTTGAGGACCCCCATTCTTGAATGGCAGCAATTGGTGAGGTTTAAGCCATTGCCTGAGAATGAACTCTCCAGGCCCTACCAAATTTTGCTTCCCTCCCAGTGGCACATTTCACCGATCTATGTATACTATCTGCTATGCTCTCAAAGGAAGATAAATTGCTGCCCTTCTCTGTGTGAATCCTGCCTAGGATTTTGTTTTGATTCCATTTTCTAGCCCAGCTGTGCACGGGAGTGAGACTTGCTGTGCAGTGCGGAGCTGTTCACAGGCTCTGTGGAACCTGTGACCTGACCAGAAAGAGAAGTCATCATACCTGGACTCCACGACACCCACCCCCCATTGCCCCTCTCTCATCCAGCGCACTCAGGAAGTTCAGAGCTCTCAGCAGTGACACACAGAGCAATTGGTCAGCACTGGCACCTTCAGGGGCTCTCACGACATCCTAGGAAGCAAAGTAACTGGTCTTCCTTTATCAGATTTGGCCTTCAGGGCTCAGTGTGGTACAGATGAATAGCATTCATGATTTTAACTATGCCATCAATTTAAGTCGGGTTCTGTTTAATCCCCAAAGAATAAGAAAAGCCCTCTAGCAGAAAAAGTTAAGAGTTCCTCTGCGGCTTGTCTCTATAATTAACAACCCACTGTATCATTTTTTTTTTTTTCATATCCAACCAAGGTAACTTTGGGAACAGTTTAAAAGCATCTCTTCTTACCTGGTCCTTCACACAAACACAGAAGAACTGCTCACCGCCTTTTACCAAATATCCCCCAGTGGGCAAAAGGCTATTTTTAAATCATCATGCGGCCTTCTCCTCATACCAGTGAATCTTGTTTCTCAAATTGCTATCATTGTTGATACTCTCACTTGAAATTTTTTCAAGCTCTCTGGCTATTTCTGGATTCATCTAGCTCCAAACTAACTGCAGGATTCTAGCAGGGTTCTGAGCAGTGCTAAATCTAATGAAGATGATTGCAGTCTTTAACAGTATATCCTAGAGGAACTAGAACCAGAAAGAGATGGTGTGAAGCACGTGTATCCTACGTGGACTCAGTCCACACACACCCTGTCGTCCCCGTCATCTATCTCCATACCAGGGTACTATAGTACTGATTCATGGCCAACACAGGGTACACACGACTTTCAGATATTTTTCAGCCATATATGCATCTACCCTACCATTGCCCATCAGAGATTTGAAAGGTGGGTTTTCCCTATGCCCACACAGAGCCCTTGAGCATTAGTTTTGCGTGACTGTAATGAAATACACAAGGAAGTTAATTTATAAAGAGAAGAGCTTATTTTGGCTCACAGTTCTGAAGATTCCAGTTCAAGATGGAGTGGCCCTGTCACTTTAGGCCCCCGATGAGGGCAGCACGTCATGACCAGAGTGCACGGTGGAACAAATCACTCGCCTCAGGAAACAGGCAGTGGGAAGCAGTGAAGATGAGCCAGTGTCCCACAGTCCCCATCAAGAGTTTCCCCACGGAAAATGAGGCCCCACCTCCTAAAGTTCCATAGCATCTTCTAGAACCACAGCCTGGGAAACAAGCCTTTAGCACATGGTCCCTGGGGCACACCCACCCCAACTATGGCGATCTGTTCCTTCTGAACCTTACTTTTATTGCTTTCTCACCACATCTCTATGTCACTATTACAGCTTGTATCCAGATGCCCCCATGTTAGTTACTTTTCTCTGACTGCTGAGACAAAATACCCAACACCCAAAGCTAAAGCGGGGGAAGGTTTATGTGGCTCACAGTTTGTAGAGATTTCAGCCCATAATTGGCTGGCTCTGAGGCAGGATGGCAGAGGGGCATCAGTTTACGGCTGCAGAAGACAGAAAAAGCAGCAAGGGACCTTAAGGGCATCTTTCCTGCCCCTTTTATCTTATTCAGACTACTTAGGATGGGTAGCACTCACACACTTAATCCTAGTGTCGGCAGGCCTGGCCCCACCGTGAATCGATCACATACTCTAGATTCAGCCACCCCCAAAATAGCTCCACCTCGTTTACATGAGGCTTTTGGCGGGGGGCAGGGGGCATCTAAACACAAGCCCTAACACCCCCATCCCAAGCCTCAAGGACTCACAGGTGAGGCTCTTCAGAAATGGCTGGATCTAGGTTCAGTGTGAATGTATTAAAGCTGCATGATTATAGATTAAGGATATGATAACTAGATTGGTCCACCAAATGGTTTAGCATAAATTTGGCTGTGGATAAGGAGAAGGCCCACCTTGAATTTGGGTGGCACCACCCAAACGGCTTGTAGCCTAGGCGAGATAAAAAGGAAAAAGAAAATCGCTGCTGCTACTTCACTGTCTCCTGCCTATGGACTGTTTCTCCTCTCTGATACCCCATGTCACCTGCCTTAGAGCCAGCCCACTATGGACTGAAACCTCTACAAATTCTGAGCTAAAATGAACCTCTCCTTCTTTAACTTTGGGTGTTGAGTGTTTTGTCCCATAAATGAGGAAGAAACTATGCCAGTCAAAAATGCCATTTTGAATTCTCAACTCATGGCCAGATACTGAGTCCTATAGTCCCCACCTGAGCTTGATATAGATGTGGTACTTGGGAGATGAGAGATAGCAAGAAAGTCACATGAGGACCTTGTGAGAAGGTGGCCACCTAAAAGCCAAGAAAAAGGCCATCACCATAACCTGACCGTGCTGACACCCTGATCTTCCAATTTCCAGAACTCTAAGAAAACAAAATCCAGCTGTTTAAACCACCTAATGTGTGATTTCTTTTCTACAGCAGTTCAAGCCAACTAATACAATTCCCACTTTAAATAATAGTCTTCTGTCTCACAATGCCTATCAACTAGTGAGTAGATAAACAAAATGCATAGCATCCTTGCAACAGAACACCATTCAGCCATAAAAAGGAAAAATATGGATGGTTGGTGCCATACAAATGAATTCCATACTAATGCAAGGAACCCAGCACAGAAGACAATTTATTTAGTGACATTCCCATGGAAGGCAAACCCAAAGAGATAAAAAAGTAGATTAGTGTCCTCCTGAGGCTGGGGGTGGAACTGGATTAACAGTAAATGGCACAAAGGACTCTACTGGGTGACAGAAGTGTCCCAGAACCAGTTTATGGTTAGGGTTGCACAATGCACTGCGCATTAGTAAATCAACAAATTCTACAGTGAAAGCAGGAGGATTTTTACTTTGTCATTTACCTCAATGAAGGGGTTTAAAATAGTTGTTAAATTAAAAATAGGTTTTATAAAAGTCTTTTTAAATCTCTGGATCTTTTCTACTCTTCAACTACCAACCCATTTCTCAGCTCCCAGAGTTGTCATTAGGTCCATTTCAATATTTCATGATGTACATTTCCTTACATTCATTTTCAAGGCTGGTTCTCCGCCCACTCCAAAAAGGCTTTCTCCCACTAACTGCAGTCTCATCAAATCATAAAATCTTTGATATTGCCAAATCTGCCAGGCAGTTTTCAGGCCTCACCATCATATCTGCAGTACATCACACCACACTGCACAGGCCACACACCTCACCTGTCTCTCCGCACATCTTCTGCCTTCCTGGCTCTCATGTCTTCCTCCTTGTTAGAAACAATATAATAGGCTTTGACCTGTTTGTGTATGATATGAGATACAGTCCTGTACCGATGCTTGACTTCATCCAGGTAAGCAAGAGAAGTGACTGGCATGTACACGGTGACAGAATGGGGCTGAGGGCACCACAGGGCCACCTGCAACTCTAATATTGCCCACTGGCCTCTCACAGCCAGGGAACATATCCCACACAGAGCCAAGAGGCCCTCCCCTTGAGGCCTCTATGCCTTGGGCAGGAGCTTGCCTCTGGCCTCTCCCATGGTGGGCAGCAGTGTCCTTCAGGCACCTGGGAAGAGCTCTTTGCCTCCTAGAAGACCTGGCTTCTCTCCTGAGCACTCCAGGGACCCCGTGCCCAGAACCCCCACCTAGGACACAGCACCATGGCTGGGCTGTGACTGAGGGCAGGAGGAGAACAGGGCCACAGAGCTCCAAGAGAAAGGACAGGGTGTCCCCAGGGTATCTGAGGACTTCTGTACTGATCCCTGGGGACGGGAAGGTGGGACCCAGTGCCTCCCTCATACACACTCAGTCTGCAGAGCCTAGCCTATTTGTCCAAACAACAGGAGCTCCTGCAGTTGCCAATTTTACAACTCCATAGCAGAGGCAGGGGCTATAGAGCTGGCGACAGGTTCCACAGCACTTGTCCTGGGCACAGAGCACCAAGGCTCCAAGCCTGGGCCAGGCCAAAGGGCAAGAATGGTAATGGCCACCGAGGCCCAGCGGTGGTGTCTTGGTCCAGAGCAGCAGGGGTAGCCAGCAGCTCTCCAAGGCCCCTGGCCACCTCTCCTGCACCTTATGCCTCCTCCCCAAGCCTGGGCCCATCCTGGCCTTGGGCGCGACAAGAACAAGGGAGCTGGAAGCCACACAGACCTAAAGCCCACAGGGTAGAAGGGAGCTCTCATCCCCCAAAGCCACTCCTGCTGCTCCTCTGCCATCTGTGTACCTGGAAAGAAGAAAGGGAGCCCAGAACAGACCAGGGCCAAACATCCGGGAGTCTTCCAAGTCAGGGGGAGCCCACGATGTCTGTCCTGGCCTTGTAGAGCCAGCATGTCCTCGAGGAGCTCAGGGCCTGGGGCAGCTGTGGTCCCAGCCCCCACACAGAGGGTATTGCCTGTCAGTGCCCCAGGGACAGCACAGGGTGACCGGGTGTCTCCCAGGCCCGAGAGCCGCCACCTTGGAATCCCGCCAAGCCAGAGTCAGGGCAGGAAACTGCTGGGCCATGCTTGAGGCCAGTTTCTGGAGAGGCAACCCAGGGTTCCACAGGGAGTTCTATGAGATCCTGTGCTATGGCTCTCGGAGTCCCCCACCTCTGGTCCAGTGTCCCCTT